TGCCTGCCCATCAAGGCCAATATACAGAAGTGGTAGAGCACTCTGTGGGACAGAATGAGGGGAGCCTAAGTCTATCAGAGCTGTGGAGGCAGGTCTAGTTGGCCAAGCAGATGACTAAGATTGGCCATTGACTATACTGATATCAGCACCTATATCCATCAGTCCAGTAAAGAATTTTCCATTTAATTTAATAGTACAAGTAGGTCTATGAGCAGAAATAGTCTGAAAAAAATAAATTTCACTGCACACATGCTTGTCTTTATCAGACTCATATGAGGTGAGCAGAAGATAAATTGATTTTGGAAGGAGTAAAATCTGAATCATCAGATTATCAGATTTGATCACCTGTATGTCAGTGGAACACACCACAACTGATATTTCTTGACAATCACTATTTATTACAGTAAGAATTACAGTACGTCCTTTAGAAATTAAACTTCATTTTCCAGTAACTAATCCGATGGTCCCTTCTGGCACCGCCCAGACAAACATCAGTTCCTCTGCTGAGATAAGTAGAGAGCATGACATTAATTCTCTCCTGCAAGAAACCACCCAGAGTGCAGGATTAGATTTACTAACAGCTTCCTGAATTCATTTGTTGAGCAAGTGCTTATGCCACTGAGCTAAATCCCCAGCCCCCAGATTAGTTACTTTGGATTGTAGCTACATAAATGCTCTCATCTACTTTACCCCAAATTTTCATATCAAGTGTACTCACTTTGGGAAAGGAAGGATAGAATTTAGCCATCTGATGGAGCAATCTAAAACTTCTTTTGATGGGACTTGATGTCTGCATCATTTAACAGCTTCACAATCAATCAGCTAAATTCTTTCTCTTCTGCAGATAAAGCATGGGATTGCCCCATTATTACCCTTGACAAATGGACTCCTACAACAGATTCCTATTTGCTACTTGCATCTGAGCTATATAAATGAGTAAAATGCTCTACTCACCTTTAATTTGATCATGCAAGGTCCAGTGAAATGTCAGCACCTTGATAGTGGTTATTTTGGCTTGAAGATCATGCATTCTCGACACTTTGAGCACCAAATATCTGTCACTCAGTAAAGAGCCATAATTGTTTGTGTTAAGGATACAGTGAAAAAAACAAAAAATGAAAACAAGTTTAGTAACACATGAATGACTGGGAAGTCGATGTCTCCTGATGGATCCTCCTCCTCACAATCCTAAACAGTTACTATTTATTGGATGTATACAGTGATAGGTGAGGCTAGCAAAAGATTCAAATCAGCAAAAGACTCAGAGGTTTATAACTGTATAGGCAAGTATAATCCTGGATGACTCAAGAGGGTATAGATTAGCATATGCTAAGATGGATCCTGTCCTGGAATATAATCCTGTGATGATTCGAGAGGATGTAGATGATCTTGTGCTAAGAAGAGTCAATGGGAAATCTCAGACAAGTGATACTGATAATTCCAAACCCCCACTTTATCCCTAAGGGAAGTATGCAAAATTAACCATTGTAAATTTGTATTGATATCACAGAATTGATATCACATTTTTCTTCATCCATTCATCTGTTTTGGGCATACAGGCTGCTTCTAAGGTTCAGCTATTATGAACTATGCTGCTATACACATTGATATGTATGTATCACTGTGATATGAAGTCTCTAATTCTTTTGGGATGAGACCAGAAGAGGAATTTCAGGGTCAAATAGAATTTCTATTTTTAATTTTTTGAGAATCTCCATACTGATTTCTATAATGGTTATGCTAGTTCACTATCCCATCAGTAATTAGTAGGGTTCCCTTTTCACTGCAGCCTCACCAGCATTTATTATTTGACTTCTTGATGACTGTCATTCTTTCCAGTATAAAGTGAAATTTCAGTGTCATTACAATTTTCATTTCTCAAATGGCCAGTGATATTGAATATTTTTTCTTTTATTTGTTCACTGTTTGTATTTTTTCTTCTAAGACGTGTCTATTCATGTCAGTTGTCCATCTTTTGATTGAGTTTTTATTTTTGATGTCTTATTTTTTATACTGGGAATTGAACACAGGACCTTGCACTTGCCAGGCAGGCATTGTGCCTCTGAACTATATCCCTGACCTTGAATTTTTTATGTGTTTTGAATATTCATCCTCTGTGTGAAGTGTAGCTTAAATTTTTTTTTCCCTTTTTGTAGGTTGTTTCTTTATTATGTGTCTGGATTCCTTTGCTGTACAGAAACTTTTTCACTTGATGTAGTCCCATCTGTTGACTCTTGCCATTATTTCTTGTACAGTTAGAAATTTTTTCAGAAAGTCTTCATTGAGCCCTATGCCTATGACTCCAAGAGTTTTACCTATTTTATCTTCCAGCAGACTGTTTCTGTTTTCACACTAGACTTTGATCCATTTTGATTTCAGTACATGTTGAGAGATAGGGATTAGATCCCATCTTTTGCATGTGGATAGTTAGTTCTCTTTATATCATTTAGTAAACAGGCTACATTTTCTCCTGTCTATATTTTTGGCCTCAGTGTCAAAGATCAAATAGTTGAATGTGCTTAAGTTTTTCTGTACCCTCTATTCTGCTCCACTGATCCTCTTGTCTGTTTTTGTGTGAGCACCATGCTCTTTTCATCACTGTTGCTTTAGTATACCTTTAAGTCCTGTATTGCTATTCTGGGTCTCTTTTAGTTTCATATGAATTTTAGGAATATTTTCTCTAGTTTTGTGAGGAATTTTACAGATATGTTGATTGAAATTGCAATAAATCTGTGTATCAATTTTGGAGTCTAGCCATTTTGACAACATTACATCTGTCTATGCAGGCACAAGGGATATAGTTCCATTGTCTAGTCGTCTCTGATCGTCTTTTGTAAAGCTCTTTTATTTTTTAGTAAGATTAATTCGTAAGTATTTAATTATTCTAGATGTTATTGAGAATGGTATTGTTTTCTTAATTTCTTTTCGGTGAGTTTATTACTGTACAGGAACTATATTGATTTTTATTGATCTTATCTTGCTACATTGCTGAATTTGCTTATAATTCTAGAGGTCGTTGGTAGCATTTTTAGGGTCTTCTATGCAAACGATCATGTAATTGTAGATAATAATAATTTGATGTCTTTCTTTCCTATAAGTATTCCTTTGATCTCTTTCTCTTGCCTGATTGCTCTTGCTATTTCAAGACCTAGGTTAAACTTAAGTGGTGACAGTGCATATCTTTATCTTGTTCCTGATAATACAGGGAAAGTTTTCAGTATTTCCCTATTAAATATGATGTTAGCAGTAGATTGGTCATAAATACTTTTTACCAGATTGAGGCAAGGTCACTGTATACCTATTTTCTTCAGAGTTTTTACCAAGAGCAGATGTTGAATTTTTTCATAGGCTTTTTCAGCATCTATTGAAATAATCATGTGCTTGTTGTCCTTGCTTCTGTTTATGTGATGGATTATATTTATTGATTTATATACAATGAACCATTTTCACATTCTTGACTTCAAGTCTACTTGGTAATGGTGTATAATCCTCCTGGTGATTTGTTATATTCCATTTGCTAGTATCTTGTTAAGGATTTTTCATCTATGATGATAGGAGAGCTAGGCTGGTACAATAAGTTCCACACTTATGAATATGCAAGTTGTGAACTTTTACAGATACAAATGGACCTCACATTGTGAACATCCGTAGATGTGAACAAATCCCATGAGTAGCTAACATGTCTGCCAGACGTCGCAGTCGTGCTGTTGAGTGCTTACTGCACAGCGTAATAGTGTACAGTAGTACAGTCAGAGAGTTTATTTTTGTGTGCCTTCAAGTTTTTTATGCTTTACATTGTATATTTGTAAAGGGAGAATAAGATTCATTTTGTCAGGCTTACTAACGAATTATGAATGTTCTCCTTGAATGAAATTCATTTGTTGAGGACTTACTGTAGTTCGCTTTTTGGGTTGCATCCTTATCTGGTTCAGGGATCAGGGTAACAACACAGTCCTCTCCATTCATTTAAAGATTTTGAGGAATATTGGTGTTAGTTCTTAGAGAATTCAGCCTTGAATCTATCTTGTTAATGGACTATTCAGAATTTTTAAGTCTTCTTGGTTTAGTTGATTAATTCATATGTCTCTAGAGAATTTCTCTTGATCATAACAATATCAAAAAATACAGCATACATCAATCATATACATTAAAATGTGCTTTCATAATTTTACCCATTTGTCAGTGCCCCTTACGGAATGCATTGTAGTGAAATAAATGAAATATATATCATACAGCCCTAATTTCAATCATAGTAATTAGCTTTTAGAGCTAAGCATGGTGGCATACACTTGCAAGCCCAGCATTCTGGAGGCTAAGGCAATGAGTGAGTGAGGTTACATCAAGTTCAAGGACATCAAAGACTACATGCTGATTCCTTGTCTCAAAAAGTACGGGGGGTGGCAATTAATTATTAAGACAATTATAAATATAATAAAATAATCAAATATGAACGAAAATGTTCAAGACTCATAGAAAATGTCTATCAGTGTTGTCTGGACCATGTCTCTTAGCCTGTGCTCCTCATTAATAATATATTAATTTTGTGACTTTTAACACTCTTCTATCTTCAAACACATTATGTGATTTGTGCTCTAAATTACATTAAAGAAGCATATCAGTTTATAATGTGAAATGTAATTTAAAAATTGTGCATCATTACTATTTTTAAATACAAGAGAACATCATGTTTTGAGAGTACAAAATGTAGCAGTGAGTTCTATAAATATCCAAAGTAAGCCAGATTCACTACAAACAAGTTGACTTCACAAATTAATTTTCAGGACAAGTATATTTTAGAGAAATACCAAAATAAGTCTTAGGGACTTCTATATGAATTTTTGAAGGATAAAAATACCACAATGTAGCATATTTTCAAGGAAAAGACTATTTGACGCTCCCTGTGAATCACTAAGCCCCTGCATCATTTTTATATGAAAATATAAACTTCATTTTGTCAATGATTAATGTTGTATTTTTATAAATTAATTTAATTTTTTAAGAAAAAGAATGCACAGTTCCACAAATAGAGAAGTATGTACTTGCTGTTCCCACAAAAGAAAAATATAAAGTTGGGGACTTGTTGACATTCTCCTGCCGGCAAGGATTAACAAGAGTTGGACCAGATTCTGTGCAATGTTACCACTTTGGATGGTCCCCTAATGTCCCAAAATGCAAAGGTAAATATTTATCTTGCAATTATTGAAATGAGTAGTACAATCATGGATATACACATGCATGTCTCTTTGCTTCTCTTAATTTCTGAGAGATTTCTAGTGTACCTGCAGTTTAATGTATTGCACCAAAGACACAGCCACAGATGATATATTTTGAGTAATAGATATGGATTGATTTAAGAAGTTAATCACCTGTTGTTTCTTAAGATATGTATTAGTAATATAAAATTACGGTGAATGCTACTGGAAAGACTTGTGCTGTTACCTTTTATTCTGCCTGCACTGGCCCTTACTATTGAGTATTAGATAAATTTTGGACCTCATCTGAAATTTCATTGCATATATGTAAACAGTGTTTAGGATGTGTCAGTTAATAGCAGTTAAAATTTGCCAAGCAATTTGTTACAGGATGATACATCACTGCATTATAAGAGAGTGCTATTGGAGCACTATCATTTGCTAGTATTATAATTTGCTAGCAGTTTTCTTGTGAATCTTTACCTAAATTGTTGAACATAGTTAAAACCTAACTATATTTCCAATGCTATTTCAATAGAAGTAATAAAATTGAAAGTATGAATCCAACATAGACATGCTTTTTCCTGGGTTCTATAATAAGTTATATGATAAATAATAAATTAAGAAAAATCTCCCCTTGTCATTGGATTTTAAAATCATACAGTAGACAACTTAACCATTATTTACATAGTACTTGTGCTGTAGATCAGGTACGTGCATGTGGTCAACCTCCTGAACTCCTCAACGGGGAAATGACAGAAGCAATGAAAGACGTGTATGATCACAACGAAGAGGTGGAATATAAATGCCACCCTAGATTTCTGTTGAAGGGGCCAAATAAAATCCAGTGTGTTGACGGAAGCTGGACAACCTTGCCAATATGTATTGGTAATATATTTAAAATTAAAGAATTTTTGTATTCATTTAAACATATACAATAGATCTTCACTATAATCTTTTTATGAAATTTTCACAGAGGAGAAAAGAACGTGTGAAAACGTACCTGAACTTGCCCATGGCTATGCGCTGCCATCTAACCCTCCCTATCACCATGGAGACTCGGTGGACTTCAGTTGTACTGAAACTTTCACAATGATTGGACACAGATCAATTACGTGTGTTACTGGAATGTGGACCCAACTTCCTGAGTGCGTTGGTGAGAATACACTTCTCAAATTGACATTTAATATTTTAATATTTTATTGCAAAAATATTTTTAATCACTTTTTGAATTTAGGGACATTATTCAAAATGTATGGTCTTTAAAAAATCAGAAATTTTATTTATAACAGCTTATATCTACAAAAGAAAATTAAAACTTGCAGTAGAATTTTATGAATGTTTTGAGTTTGGTGTTATCATTTATAAGTATAAAAATGGACTTTACCTATAAACTTCATAGAATTGAAACAAGAATAATTATTACCAAGAAAAAGTAACTTTTTCTTTACATACATAGCATTGTTGTTACACAATATTCATGTGAGGACCTGGAAGGCAAACACCCACTTCATACTTTTCCATAGGATACTTTTCTGTTTTAAAACTCGTTTTAACAAGATAAACTCCCAATTTGTACCAAATGTAGCAGACAAGTTAGTGTGTTACCAATGGCCTAGCCACAGTCCCTGTCAGTTGGGGAGGGCATCGAGAATCGAATAAATTTCCTGATAGATTTCACCACTAGAAAATCATCCTGCCTTTCCCCGTTTTTTGTACCAGGAATCGAACTCACAACCTCACAGCTGCCAGGCAGGCACTGTGCCAGTGACCTATATTCCCTGCCCCCTATCTTTCCCTTTTTGTGATCAGTTTTTTCTAACTAATTAGAAGAATTTTCAGGGCCCTCATTCACTTTTCTCCTAGATTGAGTTTTTCCTTACATTTTTCTTGGGTCTTTCATTCAAAGAATGTCCTAGATATTCAGTTTTTCTCACTCAATGGGTTTCTGGAATACTATAAATGATTAATCCCAGGAACATGGAGAGCTCCTCAGGCACAAGGATTTATGCCGTGTTCACTGGTGCCGTCCCAGCAGCAAGAAGACAGACTGATGCAGTTGAGACATTCAGTGAGGGTTTGTCAATGAGTCAGTAAGTTTTACTTCTTGGAATCCCTTACATTTTTTTGCTAAGCACATTCCTGTTAAAGCACCGACTTCAATCCTTTCTAAAATTAACCTCGTCAGTGTTCTTTGCTGTTTCCCTCAATGACTTCATCCCTTTCATACTGAAGGAAAGCCTATAAACAAGGAAATCTTTCCAGAAACTGATCATAAGACATAACCGCAAGGACCACCATACTCCTTGGCTTCAGCCCTTTCCTTAGTCAACATCTGGTACAGAATGTCTTATTTCATCTTCTCAACACTGGATCAGAACTAATGATGACTAATTCTCAAGTCTAGTGTGCTTTCAATTAGCCTACTTAATTCTTTTTCAAGGTTGCTTTATAAAATCATTACCATATTTTGTCTGGTTACTTATTTTTCTTTGTCTGTTCATCCTCACATGGATTTGCTTTCCAAATTAACAACAAAAATTTTCAGAGACCTCCACTAACACTTTACCATATTCAAAATCAATGTTCATATGCACTTTTGCAGAATATATAAATTCCAATACTAGTTTACATTTACCTTATAACAGAAGTAAAATAATTTTATTATGATATTATAATAATATTAGTTATCTATTGGAAATACTGTAAGAACATGATTTAAAAGAATCATGACTTTAAGCATCCAGCTTCTTATTTCAAGCACTGGTCTATCTCATACAAAAAAATGTTAAAATTTTTATATTGCAAACACCTGAAATCTATTTTTCTTATGTATCTTGAACATGTATATATATATATATATATATATATATATGAACTAGGAATTTCTTATATTGTATTTCCTCCATATTTTTATTTTAAAATTTTCAATTGTGGATTTAAAAATGTAGTGTTGTTTACAATTAGGAAAGCAGGTGAATGTGAACATGTGCACAGATTTCAAATGTGGGTGAAATTTCATCAGGTAATAGTCTTTGCTATGAAGAGTACCTGAGAACGTGAGCCTCGTATGCTCTTCCTGTTCCCAAAGTACAAAATAATTTTATGATAGGTAGTCTGGCTGAAATTTAAAGATTGGGCATGAGACTTACATTCATACACAACAGTTCATCTTTCACAGTGTGTTCAGAAATAAATATCTGGTGGACGATAGAGGTGTAACTCACACTTCCCTTATCTATGGGCTTTGTAGTGTCTTACATGGTCATAGACTTGAGTCTCGTAATTGGTCTGTTCACGAAATTTCAAGAGTTTCTTGTAATTATTTTTTTCATGAAAATATTTTCATTTTGTAGCAATAGATCAACTTCAGAATTGTAAACCACCAAATGTAGTTATACACCAAGCAAATCAACCCGATAAGACTGAATTTCACCATAACACTAGCGTAAGTTACAAATGTCGAGGGAAGCAAAAACTCCAGCACACAACATGCGTGAATGGAAGATGGGAACCGGAACCCACCTGTACAAGTAAGTTCTTCTTTACGGTGTTTTCCAAAATTTATATTATGTTTCCTCCTTTGTAAAGATATTGTCTTTGTAATTTTTAAAATTTTGTTATTTAGCTATGAAAATTTTTAGGCAAGTAGATAATTTAGAAAATAACCAAACACAATCTTCATATACTTGTTGTATCACATTCATTGGTTACCTATAGCATTAAATATATACATAGTTCGATAACTTTAAGCTAATATCTAAGAATTATGTGTACTTATTAATAATGGAGTGTGAATGTTTCTATTTCTTTTATTTGCTAACAAATATACCTATGCCTATAACTACATCTGTGCCTGTTACATATATGACCATTCTGTCTGTTTATGTAATCTTTGGTCTAATGATACATGTTTCTATAATCATCTGTTTATCTATTTTTATTTCTATCTACCTTAAAACCTCTGAGCCCTATGCATGCCTCCATTTCCAACTGAATAACAAAGTTCACTCCAAGCTTTTAAACAAAAATATCTGTTTTTCTCTTTAATTTTGGATACCTTGCCTCACTCATCTTGATATTTTTAGCCATTCTAAAAGTTTAAAATATACAATAAACACTGATGTATCGATACCAAAACAAATTTGTGGTATGCATTTAAATTTTATTATAGTCTTTTTTTAGAGAAATAAAGTTCACATGCATTGCAGTTTGATCTTCATTTTCTTCTTGAAACTTTAAATTTTTTAGCATTGACATTTATATATACATCATCTGTCTAATATTTATTTCAAGAACAGTATTGAGTTGGAATTAAATTTCTTGCTATATGGGCAGTCAATTAATGTTCAAGCAGGATATGTAGAAAAGAATAAATTTATTGTATAAGTGTTATTTCAGGACTATCCATTTCATATTTTATTTATTTATTTATTTATTTATTTATTTATTTTAGGGGGGTATCGGGAATCTAACTCACAAGCTTGGACTTGTTAGGCAGGCACTTGTGCTGCTGAGCTATATCCCAGGCACCGTTTCATATTTTATTAAAATTGTGATATTGTCTTGGAATTTATAGGGATATTCTTTATAAGATTGGAAGAATTTTTTATTCTTAAAAAAAGACATTGATTTGTCAAGGGCTAATAAAAATTATTAAATACATTTTCTATTTGTGTAACTTTTCTTTATTCTGATAGTTCAGTGAATTTTAGAAATATGTGTATATATTAATTTTACAAATATGTGTATGTATTATTTTGACCCTTTTATTGTGCATATTTCTCAATTTTCTCCCTTATTTGCTTTTATATGCACACATTTTTAAAGGGTTCTCCTTTTTCAGTCTTTGTGAACTGCTGTTGGACAGGTACAGAACTTCATTAATCAGCCAGGCTGGACATTTATGAGGCTCAGACAGGTTTTCTGCAGAAATATCTTCTCTTGACATGCATGTGTAAATTCATAATTAGAAAGCTTTTGGAGTTTTCATTCTCATGAGCTTATAGTCTTTGGTCCCACTGGTTATGGTCTACAATACTGTGAGTGATCTGAGCCAATACAGATCTCTTTTCTTAGTGGTCTCAGTCATCAAAATTGTGACAATCCCTTCTATCCCCCACACTGGGCAAGTGAGAAACCAGTCATACTTCAAATGCCTAAAAATCTGGAACACTAGACTGTGTTCAGCATTTGTTTTTCCCTGAAGGAGAATCCTTAATGGTAGAAAACATTTCTTTTGTTCCCTAGGTTCCCTGGAAGCACTAGCACCCTATCTGGTTTTGTATCTTTCTCTGAAGCCACCAGACAACTAGAGTTTTCCAGGCCTTGTCAATTCTCCAAGATAAGTGAGAGAAGCCAGTCCTTTGGTGGCGTTCCAGAAGGATAGAATGATAGTGTTACAGTTCATTCTCTTTCTTTCCTGAGGGACAAACTGCCAAGAGATATAAGCCTCTATCTGTTTTGGTATACATCTTTGGAGAGTCAATATACAACCTAGATCTCTTTTATTCTCAGTGGCCTCCAGGCATCTGTACGATTGGTACAGAAGCCGGTGCCTGAGCAGATTCCCCCAGGAAACTCAGAATATGAGACACAAGCTCCACAAACCCAGTGAAAACCTGGCAGCTACCCTTTCTTAGCTGTGTGGCTTTACACTGAGAGGGGAGTGGGGGATGTCCCGAATTTCCTCACTGACTTTATTGCATCTAGTTTAATGTCCACTTGGCTATAGAGCCCTCTCAAGTATTTTCTGGATTTCTTACAAAATGCTTGGTTTGTGTATGGTTTTGAACCTGTGTCCATGCAGTTTCCTAGAGTGTCATCTTGTGGATGCAATGTCACATTTTTTTTTTCATTCTTGTTGCGTTTTTTTCTTCATATAATTATTTTTAGTTTTTTTTTCTATTTTGGTAATAACTTTGAATAACTAATTCTAGTACTTGGTTTTCTCATTTTTTTCTATTCTATGTTCAGCTTTAAGTTTCACTATTTTTAGCTTTGCTTACTCTCTCTTGTAATTTTCTCTTTACATCGACTATTGTTTTCTTCCTTCTTTGAGTTTAATTTTCTTTCTTCTTTTTTTTTTCCCATTGTGTATGTGTGTGGTGCTAGGAATCACACTCAAAGCCTTGTAATATTCTCATTGTTAGGGTAAAGAAAATAAAAAATGAATCTAAATGGTCATACTTTTAAAACACAAAACTTTAAAGAATCATTTCTTTTTTATTTTACTTTAAAGAGAAGAAACAAAAAAATGACACAAAATTTCAAAACAGGGTAATGGGAGAGTAACAATCGTTGACACACTGATACATTGCATATTTTTTTCTCCAAAGTCGCTGCTCAGATTATAAAATGTGGGCATGAAAAATCAATCAAACAATATAAGCACAAACCTTTCTTTTCAGTGAACTAATAGAAATTAGTAGTACAACTATCTTGTATATTTATGTTTGTATATACATACATATTTTTTTCCTTTTCTCCTAAAGCACCGTTGCTTATTCTTTTAGCTGTGTCCCACAAAGTTAGTGTTATAACTCATGCCCTGGTATAAAATCCAAGGAAACAAGAGACTGAAAATTTAGGTAGCAAAGGCTTTATTTCCAGGCCTGGTGACAAGTCTCTGGGAGCCAATTTGGAGACTGTGTCCCAGAGACTGAAGGGAGGACTTTAAAAAAAGGCTGGAGGAAAAGGGTGGGGAGAAACAAAGAAACCTGCAGAGCCATCAAACTTGTTGACCTGAGTCTGGAAACTGTATTGCTGTCCACTTAGCTCTGACAATCTTGGGAGTTCCTGGTGTTTCTCAAATTACTCCCATCCTACAGACTGACATTATCTCAGAGTGGTACATCTGCAGCAATATTTGGGGAAGAACGTGGACAGTTAATTATCCCAGGACAGCTCGTTTTCGCTAGTGGGTGCGAAGGGGTCAAGAGTTACAAGAAGCTGAAACTTAAGTTTTACAAAGATCTGATATCTAACTCATTTGATGCATACAGAACAAAAGGAAAGCACCGATTGGGGTTTGGGCCATAGTATTTCCCGGTAATTTCTTTGAAGCTAAACAGTTCTTAAAATGTGGGGCAGGCTCATTTTATGACAGATCATCACCGGGTCGGGAAGAGGTCACCAGAAACCCAAATTCTTTATGGCCTAGATAGATAGGTGAGGGGAGAGGGAGGCAATAAGGCGCCATACAGAACAGAAAACGGCGGTTATGTGTCAAGGTCAGGTAAAGGGTTAAACTCATACCCAAATCTCTCTGCACAGAAGCAGGTTACTTTAAACAAGTGTAAATTAGTGGGCCATCCTAGTTTTCTTTAGCTCTTTAGTGGAGAATAGAGGTGCCTAACAGTGATTAACAACCCTTGTTAGCTTGTTTTAGCACAACTTCTGTAGTTTGTAGAGGGCAACAATGGTTAACATATCAATTAGGTGAGATTCTTGCAATTCTTTACAGAGGAGAGTATTGCTCAACATATCAATTAGGTCACTTAACATATCAGTTAGGAAAAAAGGATAAAAAAACACATTTAGTAAGCCATGTTTGCAGGTTTGCTATAATACACATATAACAAAGCTATTTTCTTAGAGTACAACAGTTAGGTAGATAAGAATGTATATACATTTGACTTTTATAAGTAAATGCATACAGTTGTATATACATTCCATTTTTATCCCATTGAAATATTTCCAACTGCCCTTCTTTGGTGCCATAATTATTTAGAATTTTGTTTAATTTCCAAGTATGTGTTTTTATACCTAAATTAATTCTTACTGACTTCTTAATTAATTCTATTGTCAGATAACAGTATCCAAGATTTCAGTATTTTGAATTGTGTTTATATTTATCATAAAGTATATTGTCTATCTCAGTTATGGTTTTGTTTTTACTTAAAATTATGCATATACTGTGATTGCAAGGTTAAAGTCAAACAAGGTACAGTATTCTTCAAATTTATTTGTATCTTTTCAAAGTCTTTTTGTTCAAGAAGTCATAGCAAAGAATGGTGTCAGTTTTGTTAAGTAAGATTTTTGTGTATTTCTTTCTTTCTTTTCTCCATATTGTTTCATGTATTTTTATATTTGTAGGTACATATGCATTCACAGTTGGTTTGTCTTTTTTGAAATACTCCTTTTAACATTAAAACTATTTTTCCTCAACTGCCATAAAACTCCTGAAAATCTATATTGTGTCATTTTAAAATAGCTAGCTCATTAAAATCATGGACTGTATCCACATGGTGAAGGAAATCTGAGTAAGTCTCAAATACTAAACTTCCAGAAATTTAAGCAAATCTCAGATAACAACCTTCTAATAGTCTAAGTCTCAAATAACAAACTTTCTAGCACATTCTTCTAAATTAACAGCAAAACTTAAAGCAATAAGAGAGCTAACTACAGCTTTCACTTGCTTATCTCACAAATTTGAAAAATAGACAACCTCTGTCAATTGCACTACCAGAAAATATTTCAAATAAAAAGGCAATGATTGTAATATACAATGAATCAATGCAATAAAGAAAAGGAAGAAATATTTGTAACGTTAAAACACACATCAGAAAACAAAGAACAAAATAGAAACAATAAGTATAACAAACTAGAAAACAATATATGCATAAAGAGCACAGAAGGAAAATATTAAACCACATATTGCTTCTAACTAGGGAAATATATTCACAGGAATGAATTGAGAAGTCAAGATATTTAAGAAATGAGAAAATATTATTGATAAACTATAGGCCAAAATATCAAAAGAAAAAACAATTTTAAGTTTTTAATAATCATTAAAATATTTTATCAATCAAATATCTCTGATAATAAAACATTAGGTCATCAAAAAGACTTACGACAATTCCCAGGGAATACTTACATAAATCATTTAATGAAGTACAGAATATTATTATAGCACAATAGAAGAAAGGAAACTCAAAAAATCAGAGAGCTCTTCCAAGTTTATTTATAGTCTCTCCCAGTCAAAAGGGACAAACTTCATCTTCAGACTGTGAATCACCTAATATATCTGAGATATTAGTTTTATAAGAGCACTAACAAGTTTACAGAGTGTCTTTTATTTTATTTCATTTTATTTGGAAGATGACAAAATCCAACAAAACAGAATAAATGCAATCGAAACAGAGCAGTGAAATTGGTACAGAACTTCAAATCTGGACAATAGGAAAACAACAGTGGCTACCATAGTATATCTTGTTATATTCACAATAGTTGTCCATTCCATTAGACATAGCAAAACCAAACCAAAACAGAATAAAACCAATCAAAACAGAATGTTGTATAAAGCAAAGCAATTAATTGGAACACAACAAAACAGTGAGAACAATATTGGATTTCAAAAACAAAATAGAAGGTAATCCCCATATTTGCTATACTGCACACTGTTATCTGCCTTATAGATGCTCAGACTGCCAGCCCCAGGCTTGCAAAATCAACCAAACAGTACAAGCGCTCAGCTGTCCCTTGTACCTCAGTTGTCACCAACTCAGCTTGTTCTCTGAACCAGCCAGCCACCCACTGGGAGTGGGGGTGAGGGCCAGTTTGTGATTTCCAGCCAGCATGCTGTAGGCTCACAGGTGCTATCTGAATTTTCTCTTCCTGGGGCCCTGCATAGCTTGTGTGGCTTACCAGAACGTCTGGCTAGTTGACTTCCAGAGGGTCTTTTATATGTTAATAACTATGGAACTCAAGCAAAGCTGTATGCGTATTACACTGAATGTGTCTCATTAGTTCCTATAGCTCTGAATCGTGTAGGTGAGTTACTAAATGTTAAGGCCAAAAGAATATAAATATGTAATAATTAGGTTAAACAAAAATCAATGCCAATTATTAACTAAATAAACTTTTCTCTTTGCAATTATCTTCCATTACTATTGCATCTCATGATGGTTTAAATCTGATCTCAATATATTTAATTCCAATACATTTTCATCTCTAAAACACCTATATTTATTTTTTGCTGCTTGCCATTGAAAGTATAAGCTCATAATACAACCTAAAGCTTAGAAATAATTAAAATAAGCTTTATACAATTATACAAAACTACTTGAAAAAATAAACCACAAAGAAGACCATAAGAATAGGTAATATTGAACTGCAATAAAAACTTAAAATTATAAAATATATAAACATAGAATGTTACATTATAAGTTATTATTCATAATTATTGAATTTTGATGTATTGGTAGTCTTTTAATATATTGTTATAATGGTTTGAATCTGTTTTTATTGTGTTCCAGAAGTAGAAAAACCCTTATGTGCACCTCCACCTCAGATTCCCAAAGCTCAAAATATGATCACCACTGTGAAATATAAAGATGGAGAAAGGGTATCTATTCTTTGCCAAGAAAATTATTTACTTCTGGGAACAGAAGAAATTGTGTGCAAACAAGGAGTATGGCACTCGTTGCCACACTGTGTAGGTCAGTGGTACTGTATATAACTTGCTTTATTGTGCTTTAGCAGTTATGGTTCATAATTTCTTGTGTTCTAGATAAATGAAAGATTTGAAGGCCTTCTCTATATCCATTACACTCTATCTAAAACTATAAATTATGTTCCAACTACATCTATCTATCAGTCATTGTTTTTCCCTTCTGTGAACCTTATATAGATAACTGTTTGGAAAGTTGTGTAAATGCCAGATAAAATTCTCTTTGTATTTATTTTACACTATATAATGAATAGGACACAGGTGGGGGGGGATTTTGAACAAGAGCATGACAGCATAAGCATCGTGGAGATATAACTCAACAATGTTTGATTTTGTTGTTCAATTTAAACTTTCTATTTCTACTTTACCCTTTGATTCTGCTCTTCATGTAGAGAAAATTGCTTGTTCTCAACCGCCTCGTATAAACTATGGAACTATTATTGACTCATCTGGACCTTCAAAAGAAAGGAAAGAAACCCGTCAACGGAGACTGTATGCACATGGTACCAAATTAAATTATACTTGTGAAGATGGCTTCGTGTTGTCTTCAGGACAAGGGATAACATGTCACTTGGGCAAATGGAGTTTGCCACCTGAGTGCATTGGTAAGGGCAGTCTGAAAAATGACCATTTTGGTTTTAGAACAAATCATTAAAACTAATGTGTTTTTGAGAAGATCACAAGTCTGAGCTCAGGTGGAGTGATTTGACAAGACTCTGTCAGAAATTAATATTTTAGAAAAGATTTTTATTAAAAACTTTAAAAATATTTTTAGGAAAACAAGAGGATAAAGTAATATGGATTTTCATTTACATATTTATATTAATATATTCAATTATGTATTTAGCATTCAAGCACCTTGTGCCAAATCGTCAGTTTCATCATTATTTATTTTGTTGATTCATCATGGACTAATATTTTATTCTGGATTCTTTAAAATTATGATGTATAGTGAATATGAATTATCTATCTATGTAGATTGAAGAGTTTGCCTTGCCAAACAGGTTTTTTAAATATTTTTACATGTCTCTCCTACAGAGTCTTTTCTGAGTTCTTAAAATACATGGCATCTTTCTAAAGGAACTCTGTGTATGTCTGCTTTTGTCAGTCATGACTGATTAGAGAGGTTTTGGCTACCTCTTAAATATATTTCCAGTGTTGTCTTCAAATTGCTACTCAGTTTGCCACAGTTTGACAGGTGGGATTTGGATTTAGGAGGCATTTATTAACCTTCTCTGGAATGTTATAGTAGCTGCTATAGTACCATTTCATTCTTTTAAGTGAAAACTAGTGCATAAAATTAAATTTCTGAATTAATGAAACCGATTAATTCTTTCATTATTTTACTTTTAGGGCTTCCTTGTGAATCTCCACCTTCAATTCCTAATGGTTTTGTGTACCAAGAGTTAGAAAATTATCAATATGGAGCAGAAGTTACATACAACTGCTTGGAAGGATTTGGAATTAATGGACCTGCTTTTATAAGATGTTTAGGAAGAAATTGGTCCACTCCACCAATCTGCATAAGTATAGTGTATTTAAGTTTATTTTATGTGTATAGAATATCTCAATTCATTGTGTAAATGATACAAATAAGATTATAAGCTATCATTCTAGAATTTTACAAGATATCACTTAAAGGTTCTGAAATAAGGCAGAGAATTGTAGCCTTAGTGATAAAAAAAAACTATTACGATCAGCCATATCATTTCATTTTCACATCATTTTCTATGAACTGTCAGAATCCTCTGATGTACATTCCCAAACTTCTCCTTTCTGTTTCTGCAGCCCAGCCACCCCTACTCATCAAACTCATCATTATTCAATCTCCTGTCTGTGACCTCAGCACAACCATGTATTTTTCTAAAATTTTGAAAAATTACTATAAGCAACTTACATTTGAACAGAGCTAAAAAGTACAAATTTATAGTATAGATGTCAAGGACGGACAAAATAATTTGAGTGTCAACAGTGTGATCTCAAGCATTAAGTCACTAATATTTCATCAGGAATTTGATATTATCACCTTATACTGTACTTCCAATAAATTTTAACAGTCAACTCAGTGACACAGTTGCAACTTAGTGGCACAGTGTGTGCCTGGCAAACGTGAGGTCCTGAGTTCAATTCGCGGTACCAAAAGAAAAAAAGTCAATGTAATTAAGTGAAAATTGTGAATGTATCTTTCCAAGTTATAGGAAGCATATTGCATATTATTTACTGGTTCCATATGTAGCTAAAATTATTTTAGAGTATAATTATTATACATTACATACTATAAAATTTACTGAGTAAATACTATTTGATCCATTTTTTTCAGGAACAGATTGCTTTAATGTGCCTACCTTTGAAGGTGTCTTACTTGCACAACAGAAGAAGGATTTTTATAGGTCAGGAGAACAAGTGACCTACAGATGTCCAAGCTCTTACCACTTGGAAGGTTCTGATACTGTGACATGTGTTAATGGCAAATGGATAGGAGAGCCAAAATGCAAAGGTACTTGGATAGATTTTTACAATAAATTTATTAAATTGTCTTGGGAACTATAGAATGATCTCTACCATCCTTAAAAATATAAGTATGCACTCATTTTTAGACCAAAACTAAGGTTATGTTTTGAAATAATGAAATTGAATAACCACTGGCTAATCTCACAGCCCAGTGGTCCTCAAAATGTGGTCCCTGGACCAGTAGGTAGCATCATCATCATTCAGTCATTAGACACGCAAAACATTCATAAGCTCAACTTAGACCTCTAAACCAAAACATATAGACTTAGGACCTTGAAAATTTAGAAAGTGCTTTAAAATAAAGTTTTCTGAGGAATTTTATGCATGCAATGGTTTGTGAACTATTGCTGTAAACTGTTGTTAACTATCCACGCACCTAAAACATTCTCTGATGAATTTTACGTTTTTCATCACAGTATCCTTAAACATTTTCAAAAATACTAAACCATTGTTTTATAAGTATACATTTCTATATTTTCTGGATTTATGATTGAAAATATTCTTCATTTATCTATGTTATTCTTCAAACTGTGTTCCTAATTCTTTATTCTCAAGAACGTGCCTCTTTGCATTTATGTTTAAGAAATGCACTTAAAAACACCAGTTCACTAACAACTAATGTTGTTAAACCATGTTCCCATTTTTTTTTTAATTTTCAAATTCATGTAACATTTTCAGAACTTGTTGTATTTATTGTACCAAATTCAAAGGGAGATTATCAAGGAATTTTTTCACTGGCTTCCAAGGAGTAAAACGTGTGTCCGTGTTGCACTGGAGAATGGGGAAGAAATTTGAGGATATAAAGCTTAACTCTTACAAAAATATTGCTGTACCTTCTTGTCCTCATATTACATGTAAACTTACTGAAATCAGCAATGTCCCTTTTGAATGTTTACTTAGTGTTTTTCAGTACCCTTTGAAATATATTTGGTAATTCATTTATTTTTTTACTAAAGTGGGTAGAGTTCATTTTTGTCTTTGTATTCAGATATTTCCTGTGTGAATCCACCAATAGTGAAAAATGCTACTATAATATCAGACCAGATGGCTAAGTATCCACCTGGTGAAAGAGTACAGTACCAATGTAACAAACAGTTTGAAATGTTTGGAGATGCAGAAGTAATGTGTCTAAATGGAACTTGGACAGAACCACCTCTGTGTAAAGGTAAAGTAGCCTATTTCCCAAAATTATTTTGAAGACATAGTTTGGATAAAATATAATGCAGGAATAAATTGTGATTCTTGAGGAATATATTTTAAATCAAATAAAATGGCATTGTTAATATTTTAATTCTGTGGCAGCTTGAGCAAAGATTTATGATATCATTATGACATAATTTTATCAAAAAAGATTAATTCTGATTTAAGGAACAGTTGGGAATTTTTTACTTGAAACCTTAAGACATCCAATTATACATTTTGTGCTATGTATAACTGACAGTTATCTTTTGATAACCTCTGTGAGACACAGAACAGGCAGTTGAAGAGTGATCATAGAAAGGTATATAAATTTAGGTTGATCATACAATGGGATAAAAATTTGAGTATCTTCAGTGTAGAAGTTATATTTGAAGATATGTAATTGATTGAAAACATGCTGGGAATTACTGTATTTATCACAAGTTTGAGCACTCAATCATGAGGTGCTCCAATATTTAGAGTTCAAGAAATAAAGAAAAATTTTCCTTTTTTAAAAAATTAATTATATCAGGAATATTTTCTCTTCTTTCATCTAGATTATTGCTGTTTTTCAGGTTGAAGTGAGTTTTATGTAGGAAGTCAATATTTGGATCTTATCTGTCTATCCACTTTGCTATTCTTGATCTTACAACTGGCATATTTAAATAATTTATATTCAAAATAATTATCAATATATTAGGGGCCTTGTCTATTTGTTTTCTGAGTGCTATTTCCCTTTTCTTTCTTTCTTTTTGGAAAATATTTTTAAAGAATTTCATTTTGATTTGTATCTACTATTCAGTGATGCATCTCTGATAACATGGCTAACACCATTTTTTTTTAATTGTTGTTTCATGTATTGGAACATGTATTTTTTTTTATCCTGTAGAACTGTGGCCATTTTACACTTCAACTGCATTATGGAGACTTTACCTCAATTTAAATCCATTTGTCTTTCTCATATATTAAATAAAATTACTTTAGCATTTTCGATACATGCATTGATAGTCATTATCAAGTGACAAAACTTTATTCCAGAACATCAAATATAGCTGAACAAACTCATGAGAAGCACAATCTATTGTATATCTTTCTTTTGCCAATTACATAGCTTTTTTTCTCCTTCCTAAAGTCACAATCAACTTACCTTTTTCATTTCCTTAGTTATATTCTAAGGATAATTCTGAGGGAAACACATTCTCTTGGTCTTCCTTTGATAATTTCTTTATTTGTACCTTTAGGATAGAGTCAACAGATGTAGAATCTGAGGCCCTGTCACTTTCTTATCTGGCCTCCATAGTCACAGCTAAGAAGTCCATTGTCATTTCATTCTAGTCTCTCATAAGTAATGCAGTTTCTCTTTGGCTGTTTTCATTACAATGTGTATTCATGTGGATTTCATTATAAAATGTATTGGAATGAGTTTCATTGGGCTTATTCTTCATGCCTTGTGTCAAATATTAAAACTATCTTTTTTTCAACTCAGTGTCCTTACCTCTGTCTCATGGGTCTCCAATTTTTTTATTATAAGTCTCTGAGATTAATTTGTATTTTGGTTTTCAGTGTATTTTTAGTCCAAGGAATTTCAGCTCTTCTATTTTCAAGTCCATAGCTGTATCTGTCCATTATTTCCAGGCTACGAAGCCCATCCAATAAGGTTCCATTTTGTTTTATTTTTGTTTTCCATTCCTGTTGCATCAATCAATTTTAAGTTCCTATCAGTTCTAAGTTTCAGTGTCTATGTCATGTCTGTCTTCTCTTTTGCTGTCTTTTCTGATCTTTAGTATGATGAATGAATTTTAACTTTGTTCTAGACAGTTTGTGTATTTTATTTCAAAATATTTTGTATTGTATTGTTTAGTAGGTTTACATGACTTTCATACTGCTTAAATCCAGGATGTCTAGACTTTAAGTCCAGGGTTTCAGAATTATTTAAATCCTGCTGGTATTATAGGGGAGGAGACAGATATCTGGCCATCTCAGTGTATAAGCAGTCTATTAGGTCATATAGGAGTTGTCAGTCAGTGCCTTAAAGTGGTTTGCCTAGAGTAGGTGAGATATTATTTAAAACAATGTCTTGATCTTGCTAAGCCTATGCCTTTCTTAATCCTTTGGCTGAAGAGATGAGTGCCCTTTGGGGATTTTCCTCACACATCATAATTGTAGTCTTCTATGTCACATCTAAGATAGCTGGCACTCTAACGAAGAACTCAGATCATACACAGCTCTGCCATTCCTTTACCTATGAAGCTCCTGTGCTGATTGAATTCTCTGTATCTTCCTAAGTCCTCTTATGTTTTTAAAAATACTTTTAAATATTTTTATTGTGTAGTGCTTAGTATAAGAAATACATAAAAATATTTTGTGCTCCTTATGCTTGTATCAGCAAATCATTAATCATTTTTACCTTGTACAAGTATATGCTTTGACTTTTTCAAGAGTTGATATTTGTTTCATAATGAAAATAAAAACTGATTAGCAATACAATTAGGAACACAGTATGTTATCTATAAGAAAACAAGGTACTTTTATTGCTATTGCAGCTAGCTATCGTTTTAGCCTTTAACACATTTGCAATACTGTAGCACTGCAAAGCAGACATATTCATTGATGCTTTATCTATACTTTCTGGAAGGTGAGAGGTAGGACTTAAAATGTAACTGTTAGTTTATATGATTACAGTTTCTTCGAGCAATCATTTCTGTTAACAGAACTCACAAAAGTTTTGATATTATGCGTAGCACATTTAGCCTGTATTTTGATTTGTCCGTCAATAAAATCAATTGATTTTCTTTTTAGATTCCACAGGAAAATGTGGGCCTCCCCCATCTATTGCCAATGGAGACATTACTTCTTTCCCTTTAGCAGCATATCTTCCACACTCAACTGTAGAATATCAGTGCCAGAACTTATATGAACTTCAGGGTGACCAGCAAATAGTATGTAAAAACGGAGAGTGGTCCAAACCACCCATATGCTTAAGTAAGTGCTTCAATATTCTCTGGAATTCTGGAAAACTCAGGGCAACGAATAGGATATTTTCTCTCTATAACAGAACAGTCAGAGTAACAGCAACGATTCTGCTGAATGGTTGACTTCAATGAGATATGAATATATAAGGAAATAAAAGCTAGACAGTGTTATGAGACCAGACTGAATGGAGAAAGCTAACTGGGAGTGCAGCAAGCCCTCTGTAACCCTCTGGGCCAGCCTTGCCCAGAGTACATGGTCAGACACAGCGTGGAGGCAGGGTGGTGGCAGGAACCATGTAGGCAGCAGTATGGCAGCAGGAACTGGAGCATTCTGTCCTGCTGCTAAATGCTGGTGCTGGCCTAAGCATATGGTGACGTTTATAGCCATGCTTTCCCCCCAGTACCTTCATTTGCCAGGTATCACAATTTGTTGTATTTATAATAAAAATTACCACCACTTATTTTCGCATTCATCCTTAACCACAGTAACTATTTTGCTTATGTGTGATTTGAGAAACTTCAAATCTGCCCTCTTATCAATGTCAAGTGAACAATGTAGTATTATTAACTAGAGCTAACATGCTGTACATTAAATCCTCAATCTTATATGTCTTGTAATTCAAAGTTTACACCCTTTGATCAGTAACTGAATCAAATGCAAACAGCCATAATAGAATCTAAAAAGCAAAAGTCTTAATATGATTGATTCTGTGAATCTTTCATTTCAACATCTGATTATCACACATGAGAAACATTTTTACATCATTTACCATTTTAACTTTATTTAAATTTTTATGATATTTTTCTGGTTTCTTGGGAAAGCATTTCTAGCAAGAATTCCTGAAGCATGAAACAGTCTACTGGGAAACTGAATAATGGTCTTTATAGAAAATTTGCATGCTACTTAATAAATTATGATCTTTTTTTCAGAACCATGTGTAATATTAGAAGACACTATGGAAAAACATAATTTAACACTCATGTGGAAAAAAAACCAGAAGCTTTATTCCCCATCAGGTGATACAGTTGAATTTAAATGTAAAGATGGATATAGTTCACCAACTTCAAAATCTTTACGTGTGATGTGTCGTGATGGTCACATGGACTATCCCAGTTGTGTCTGAAATGTACGTAATATTAATTATGGTTAAAAGCATTAGTATGTTTGGCTTTATTCAGAATTTTTATTAGCAATCTAGTTCTCTGTTTTATTTTTAAGTATTGCTCAATTCATTTTTTAATCATAAATGGAAATTTTGGTTGTTGTACAGTGACGTGTTTAGAATTTGAGAGGCCAGTGGCACACTTCTTAAAATATTGCATTCAAACTTGACAAATCAAAGTGCTATATATCGTTTTTACAAAACTATGGCAAGAAATGGAATTACTTCAGTGTTTGTCTCTTTCCACCATCACTGTCTCAAGTCTCCCAAAGAATTCTACATAACTCCCGAGTTATGAGAGGCTTTGCTTCACAATGTGTGTATCTCTGAGAGGCTTTGCTTCACAATGTGTGAAGAGGATATTGTCTCCAACTTTAAAATTCTATCACTTATAAATGTATGAAAACCAAAATCACACCTGAGTACAAATATACACAATTACCACTTATTATTTAACTATTAATAAATGAATGCAAAAATTATTAAATGTATGAGCTTATCATATATATTAGTCTAACACATTTGATAATACAAACAAATCTTTAACAAAAATTAAAGCTGTGTTGTCTATATAACTATATAAAAATCTTCTAGCCATACTAGAAAACAAAAATAAAGTCAGAAATGAAGAGAAAATAATGCAGACTTTTGTCCAAACTCATTTATTAATATCATTGTTATTGTAACACCAGAACAACACAGGGATAGTGCAAGAAATTACAGGCCGAATATACTTGATGAATATCCGACATGCATGTAGACGCAACATTCCTCAGTTGGAAAACTTAATACAACAAAATATTTTAAGAACCATAAAACTTGATCAAGTGTGATTTATTTCTGGAATGCAAGAATGGCTTGATATATATCACTAAAACATTTATATGCACCAACTAAGAGAATGGTGAACAAAATTATATGACTATCAATAGGTGCAGAACAAACATTCAACAATAATAAATATGGTTCTGATTTTTATACATTTTGATAAATTTAGCATAGAGGAAATTACCTCAAGACAATAAAGACCATACACATATCTAGTAGCCTTAATTAAAAACTCAAAATCTGAAATGCTTCATTTTGAAATTTTATAAGTATTAATACTATGTATAGAAAACTGTACACCATGATAATTTGTTTCCTGCACAAAATTATATAAAATATTTTATAAAAGTATCTTCAGGGTATATTTATAAAGTGCAGAAGTGGTGATTAAAACACACAATGAATGTCAAAATATAAAATACTAATTACAGTAAAAGACACATTGCCAGTAATGGTGAGATAAATGTATGAGTGAGAGTATCCAAGGGGTTTGAGTTGTGACATGTTTTGTATTTAGGCTAAAGTCCACGTGCAAGACATCTTACTACGTATAAAAATTCTAAAATCTAAAAAGTGTGGCCCAAATCATTTGCATTAAGGATGCTCCACTTGTATTATTAGCCCAAAGCCAACAATGTATTTGATGCTGAGAAGTTGAAAAGTTTTCAACTAAGATCAGAGTTAAACCAAAAATGTCCATTATCTTAGTTCATTTCCTGTTGCCATAATAGAAAACTTGATATTTGATAAATGTAGCATCCTGTGCTTGTTTCTTTGTTTAGTATGACTTTTTTGATACAACATCCCACTACATAGCTCAGTTCAGGTTTGTTTGGCTTCACTGTGTAGCCCAGAATGGTCTCAAACTAGTGGTGACACTCCTGCCTCAGTCTCCTGAGTTCTGGAATTATAGGCTCAAATATGCCATTTTCACTTTGTCTTAGTCAATTTCCTTATTGCTGGAATAAAATACTTGACACCCAGAACTTATAGGACAGGTTTACTTTGGCTAAAAATCACAGTCCATGGTCAGCTGGTTCTAAGGCAGAAACAACAGGATGACAACACCTGGGTAGAAGAAAGCTGGTCACACAGTGGGAACAAGGCAGAAGAGAGGGCAGGGCAGAGCCAGTGAAGAAGATGTGCCCTCCAGGGTCCCACCTCCATTGCCCTCACAGTGTCAGTGACCCACCTCTTCCCAGCAGCAAGTCAGGTCTGGTGTCCTCATAATATAACCATCTCATAAACGCATGAGCACCTGGCGATCTCTGGAGACCTCAATCTCAGTGCAATTCAATAGCCTCAAAACTAACTCATTCCAACATTAGTTCTAGTATCTTGAGCCTAAGCCATATCTAAATTGGATATAAGTAAGAATAAAAGCATGAGTTGTATTGAGGCAAATTACCTGCAGCTGTGGAACAATAAAATCAAAACTATCTCACTTCCTAAACACCTCTGTGGGTCTGTGGTGAGATAGATATTTCCCTTTAAAAGGAGAAATAATAATGAAAGGAGTAACAGGAACCAAGCAAGTCAAAACCCAAAGCCAACAATGACTTTTTTCTCACTTATTTTTATTAATGTTTGCGATAGAAAACAATACATGTCTTAAAGGTGCAAAACAATTTTACTTGCCTCCATGTCTTACTTCATCTGTGTGAATCTTGAGCCCACAAGGACTTTGAAACATCTATTCTAACAGCTTTGTTGGGCTCAGCTCATGCTTCGTTCCTGTTGCACTGGTATAGTTCTACACTGTGAATTTCCCAGCTACCCCATTCCCAGGCTCTACTGTGAATTTCCCTAAGTAGGATTTACTTTGTTGGCTCTGCTCCTGTGGGGGACATACTAGATACTTACTTTTTGTGGCTTTCATCTTGATTTCACTTTTTTTGTTTGGAATTAACCTAGTGAGAACTCTCGGTGGTGGATCAAACTCTGTAAAAACACTCTGCCTGAATCACCAGGTCATCCTCTACGTCCTTTGGATTCTAGGTGGTGGCTGCCATACCCTCATAGCTTTTATATGCTGCAAATCTTCAGAATAAATACCACCACATGAATTGCTCCATTCTTTTTTTTTTTTTTTTTTTTTTTTTTTTTTTTTTTTGGCTTTTTCATTTTTACCGGTACCAGGGATTGAACTCACGACTGCCTGCTTTCAAGGCAGGTGCTTATGCCGCTGAGCTAAATCCCCAGCCCCGAATTGCTCCATTCTTTATGGCATGTACCATCTGGATCAGAGGGACCACCCACACCTCGAACTCTAACAAGGCAGCTTTTTCTGGAATTTGTCCTTAAAAGAATTAGCATCACATTTTCTAATTAAACCTTTAAAATCCCTTTACCAACAGTCTGAAACTTAAAGAGTGTCCACAGTTATTTAGGTTTAAATTCTGAAGACACTCTTGCTGATGAAGACCAAGCCTGCAGTCTTACTGGCTCCTCTCTCCATATAAACCTCTCACACGTCTCTGCTTGAGAAGAGTTGGAAGTCAGAGGAGGTATCTCCTCCATCTTCATTAGGTGTAGCCTTGTCAGTCTGATTCCATTTCAAGTTCTATCTCCTGAATTTCGACTTGAGCAGTAGGCAGCTCAGACATTTGATTCTGGTAAGACTTTTAGTGATCCCTATCTAGGAGAAACTTGCCCTCCACTCAGTCTCTGTTCCTATTGTGGGAAGCAAAAATCATTCATGATGAGGTTGGTCACTTGTAATAAATTAAACCTGCATTGGTTCTTCAGGGACATTTCCATAGCTATTAGGGCTTTCTTTTCTTTTCTTTTTATATCAGGAATTTTCCATTTCTTCCTACTGATGACCTCAGTTACCTGTAAATAAATGGAACAAGAATAGAGAGAAATTATATTTGGCATTTTGGGGTAGTGTCAGTGGGCTCCAGGCTGGATACAGCCTACTGGAGTGGACAATGAGGATTTTCTATCTCCACCTATTGGGACTTCAATAGCCGTACCTTCACTGGGTCATTTTTTATTACCAGTAGCTATGGGTGAGATTCAAAAGACTAAAATACCAAGGAAATTTGTCTTTTTAAAAAAATTTTATTTTAAAGAAAAAAGAGAAAAACACAAAACAAAGCGGTGTAAGGGTACAAGTAATACAGAACTACAAAAAAAAAATAACAGTAAGAAATCACCAGTTAATAGATTACATATTATCATCTTAGAAATAGTTGCTCAAATCACAGTATCAAAGAATACAAAGTGGACATTCAAACAGTGAGACTGCAAACAGTTGTGTTCAATGATCCAACCAAAAACATTAATATGGTCAGCTATTTAACACCCCTAAACACACTTGCTGTTGTATCCTTTAGAGCTCTTTTTTTCCCCTCTCTTTTTTACAACAAAATTTACACATTTTGGGTTTTATTACTCCTTAGTTCTTATTACTTTTGGGGGGGGAGAGAATAAAGTAAAATATGGTAAAACAAAGCTGTCAGTCAAAACCAAGGATAGACATAGCACATGATGTAAAACAGAGTACAAGGTTATCAACAATGGTTATCAACGATGTCTCTTGTTTCCTTAAAAAGAATTGTCTATCTCATTAGATATTATAAACAAAACAGTTCGTTTGAACAAAACAGTAGAGAACAAGACCAATAAAACTTAAGCATTGTAAACATTACAGGACTTCCAAAGGAGACAATAGTCAAACCAGAATGGGCATCTTAGTGAATCTTATTGCCTTCAAAGTAGTTGCCTATACCCTCAAACTTGATACTATCATACAGAATGGAACAGAGTCTAATCAGTCAAAACAAGATCGTGGGAGTATTACAGGACTTCAAAACAAGTTAATAGGAAATCAAAAAAAGTTACTATTATATATCCTGCTAATTTTTTAAATTTTCCCCTTAATTAAAACAAACATAAGAAATAACTAAATAATTTTTTTTAAAGACTAAGGGAGAGATTGATATAAAACAGGACACAACAATATAACAATACAGGTCAAAGCATGACAGTTTCAGCAACCTAGTGCTTCACCACCAAATAACCCGACTTAATAGTAGTTACCATAGTGTCTGTCTTTTTCCTTGAAATATTTGAATAAACCTTCATATACTATAGCTTCAAATATTTCCATATCAAGAAGCCCAGAATAAAGCCTTTCCAATTAATAAGTGAAAACTTTGTAAGGCTTCAAGGCCACATAATGGGGAATCATGATTACCACATATTTTTATATAGTTGAATCATTACTTACATTAGGGAAACTATTCTGTATTCACACATGCGAGATTGATTTATTTCACTTATGAGTATGGTCTCAACCTGCGCCCATTTATTGATAAATATCTCAGTGTGATCCTTCTTTATAGCTGAATAAAACTCCATTGTATAGAAATACCACAACTTTTTTATCCATTCCTCAGTTGATGGACACTTGGGTTGTTTCCAAGATCTGGCGATTACAAATTGTGCTGCTATAAAAATAGGTGCACATATATCACTGTGGTATGATGCTTTCAGTTCTTCTGGGAATGTGCCTAGAAGTTGAATAGCTGGAATAAATGGGACTTCCAATCCCAGCTTTTTGAGAAATCTCCAGACTGACCCCCACAAAGGCTGCACCAGTCTACACTCCCACCAACAGTGCAGGAGAGCTCCTTTTTCCCCACAGCCTCTCCAGCATTTGTTGTTGTTGGTTTTCTTGATCCTGGCCATTCTTTCAGGAGTGAGATGGTATCTCAGTGTGGTTTTAATTTGCATTTCTCTAATGACCAATGATGATGAGCATTTTTTTATATATTTATTTGCCATTTGCCTTTCTTCATCTG